AGGTGGCAGCTCTTTTTCAGGTACAATAGATGCCTTGATCGCCTTTTTTAATAATGACACATGGAAGACCGGGTAGATTTTGGAATTCGCAGGCAAATCTAACTCATATACCACCTGGCCAATTTTTTTGATGATTGTGTAAGGACCAAAGTATCTAGAAGACAGTTTAAAGTTGCGGCGCAGCTGAACTGAATTTTGCTTGAAAGGTTGAAGCTTGAGGTACACTTGCTCTCCTACTTCAAAATTTTTCTCAGTCCTCTTCTGATCTGCATAGTACTTCATCCTCTGTTGTGCCTTTGTGAGGTTCTTCTTTAGTTGCTGCACCATTTTCTGCCTGTCTGAAAGAATTTTCTTGACATCTTGCTGATCTGTGTCTAGGAATTGAGTCATTGAAAATGCTGGGGGTGGGTAGCCATAGAGTGCTTCAGAGGGTGTAGTGTTTAGGCTAGTGTGATGATTAGTGTTGTACCAGTATTCTGCCAAGGGTAGCCACCTGTACCACTGTTTGGGGTTATCATGAACCATACGTCGGAGGTAATTCTCTAAACATTGATTGAGCCTTTCTGTTTGTCCATCTGATTGTGGATGATAGGCTGAAGACACGTCTAGGCTAACCCCCATTAACTTGAACAAGTCTTTCCAAAATGTACTGGTAAAAACTTTATCTCTATCTGTTATCATGTTGATTGGTAACCCATGGAGTTTGTAGACTGTGTCAAGGAATAGTTTAGCCACTGAAGTTGCAGTAAAGGGATGTGATAGGCCAATGAAATGCCCATACTTGGTGAATCTATCAATGATGACCAAGATCACATTTTTTCCTTCTGATTTGGGCAATCCTTCAACAAAATCCATGGATATGTGAGTCCATGCTTGTTGAGGAATATGGAGTGGCTGTAATAACCCAGGATAAGGTTCTCTGTCACTTTTGTTCTTTTTGCACACTTCAAATTCATTCACCCATGCTGTGACATCTGCTTTCATGTGAGGCCAATAGAAAGCTCTCTTAGCCCTCATATAAGTCCCATTGATTCCTGAGTGTCCCCCATAGGAAGAATTATGCATGGTTTCCAGGATAAGCCTTCTCAGTTCTGGATTTTCACCAACTCCCAATCTGCCCTTATATCTTATAAGCCCTTCTGTTACTGTGATGTGAGCAGGAGTATCCTTAGTAACAGGATCCAAGAATTTCTTGAAAAAGTCATCCCCCACATAACTTAATCTGACCTGTTGCACCCAGTTAGGAGTGAGAGTTGTGAATGCTTTGCATTCTTCTGTTCCTTCCCTCCTAGATAATGCATCAGCTGCTCTATTCTCAGAACCCTTTTTGTATTCAATTGAATAATTAAGCCCCAGCAACTTGGTAATCCACTTCTGCTGCATAGGAGTCATTACCTTTTGATCTAGCAGGTGCTTGAGGGCTTGTTGATCAGTCCTAATTATGAAATATTGGCTCTATAGGTAGTGATTCCACCTTTGTATGGCCATTAGCACAGCCAAAAATTCTCTTTCATAAATAGATAATGCTTGATTCCTTGGACATAATGTCTTGCTCATGTAGGCAATGGGTCTCCCTTTTTGCATGAGAACAACCCCAACTCTTGATCCACTTGCATCAGTTTCTAGAATGAATGGTTGTGTGAAGTCTGGTAGTGCTAGTACAGGTGCACTAACCATAGCTTGTTTGAGTGATTGAAATGCTTGCTCTGCCACTTCTTCCCACTTGAACCCATCTTTCTTTAGTAAGTTGGTTAAAGGTCTGCTCAACTGTCCATAGCCTCTAACAAACTTCCTATAGTACCCAGTAAGACCCAAAAAACCTCTAAGTTGCTTCAAGGTAGTAGGAGTTGGCCAATTTATCATACACTCCACCTTTTGGGGATCAGTAGCTACCCCTTCTTCTGAGATGATGTACCCTAGATACTCTACTTTTTTCTGGCCAAAAGAGCACTTGCTTCTTTTGGCAAATAATTGGTGCTCTCTGAGTGTTTGCAGCACATTTCTAAGATGAAGGATGTGATCACTCCAAGTCTGGCTGTAAATTAGAATATCATCAAAGAACACAAGGGTGTGCCTCCTCAGACTGTCCTTGAAAACCCTGCTCATTAGTGACTGAAATGTGGCTGGTGCATTGCACAAGCCAAAGGGCATTACTAAAAATTCAAAATGGCCATGGTGAGTGCTGAAAGCAGTTAAGTATCTGTGCTCGGGCTTCATTAAGATCTGAAAATATCCTGACCTGAGGTCTATCTTAGAAAAAAACTTGGCTCCATGCAATTCATCAAGTAATTCATCAATAATTGGAATAGGAAAATCATGCTTGATGGTGAGAGTATTTAGATACCTATAATCCACACACATCCTCCAGGTAGAATCTTTCTTTTTCACCAAAATGACTGGGGATGCAAAAGGGCTTTTGCTGTATTGAATAATCCCAGCCTCCAACATTTCTTTTATGATTTTTTCAATTTCATCCTTGTGCTGATGTGTGGTCCTGTATGGATATTGGTGTTTAGGTAAACTCCCTTCCTTGAGGACTATCTGATGTTCTATCTCCCTGTGGGGTGGAAGCCCTTGGGGTTCTTCAAACACATCATAGTATTCATCTAGCAGTTGTTGCAATTTTGCTTCTTCCATTCCCTCTGTTTTTTGCACTGTAACCAGGTAGATTTCCTCAATGTCATCTGTTTGATCTATGTGCATCATTTTGTACAAAGTAGGTCCAGTAATTAACTTGCACCCTACAGTAGTGGCCATTGCTTGAATTATGATCTTCTTACCTGCCACTGTTACTGTAAACACCATTTTGTCATAATTCAGTTCAATAGGAGTACATGACTTAAGCCAATCTCCTCCTAGAATCATGTCACACCCTTCTAGCTGAAGTGTCCTTAAGGGGTATGAGAACTCATGCCCTTGCATTTTCCACTTGAATCCCATCACTCTGTGAGAGCTAATAAGTTTCTGGCCATTGGCCACCTTAACCATGAGTGATCTGATAGAATCCAGCTTGCAGCCCAATTGTTGAGCTGTTTCCTCCTTGATAAAACTCAATGTGCTGCCTGAGTCTATGAGTATAAGAAGTTTCTGATCCCCACATCTTTCCATGAGCCTCATTGTGGTGATGCCATTATCCCCAGAAATAACATTGAGTGCCATCTGTACCTCTTCCATTCTGGCATGTGGGTTGAAATCATAATTTTCTTCAACATCACCTTCAAGTGGGTCTGTCTGTTCATTTTCTTCCTCTTCTGTCATAATCATGTAAGTGGTCCTGTTCTTGCACCTGTGACCATACACAAAGGGTTCATCACAGTTATAACAAAGCCCCTTTTCTCTCCTACTGGCCATTTCAGCTGCTGTAAGGAGTTTGATAGGTGGTTTTGGATTAGTGGCTTTCTAAGCAGGGTTTTGAGTAGGTTCATTCCTCCTGGAATAGGAGTATGCATTTGCATGACCCTTGTTTTGATTGGATGTCTTGAACCTCCTAGTGATTGCCTCCAAGGTCTACAGTTGTTTCTGTCCCAAGGCTATGGTCTGTTGTAGAGATGTGGGCTCAAACATGTTGATGAATGATTGTAGCTCATCACTGAGGCCACTGGTGAAACTTGCTATGAAATATTCCTCAGTGAATTCACCATGGCTGAACATCAACATACATGCCTTAAGTTCCTCAAATTTTTCCACATACTCTGTATAAGAACCACTCTGTCTCAGTTTGTTAAATTCAGCAATAATCTTTGCTTCTTTGAGCTCCTCAAACCTAGCTGATACCACCTCTATGAATTGTGGCCAAGATAACTCCCCTTGATGAGTGATAAAATTCTGATACCATTGTGCTGCTCTACCCTCTAAATGCATAGATGCTAGGGTAACCTTTTGATTGTCAGGGATGTTTGAGACCAATTTGAAGTAGTTGTTGCACTTGAGTATCCATGCCCTTGGGTTGGTGCCATCAAATTTAGGAAATTCCACTCTAGGCAAAGGGCTAATAACCTGCATACCTTGCTCCATATTTAGCCTAGACCCTTGTGCATTTCTGAAATTGGATCCTTTGATGCCAAACCCCGGGTGACCCAGAATTGACTCATCTCCTCCTTGGTCTTTGCTTATGTTCATATTTAATAACTGCAACTGAATGGATGCTAGGGTATTTGTCAGATTATCATATTTTTCTTGAATACCTGTGAGTTGCTCTTGTACATTAGAACTAATGTTTGAGACTTGGTCCTCCATTTTTAGACTGACTGCTGCTAATTGTTCTTGCAGCTTGAGTTCTGCAGCTTCCCTCTTCATGGATTCAGTTTGCAGGATTTGATCCAGGCGTTTTTGTGCTTCCTGCAAATCCTTGAAACGTGTGCCTTCAGCCATGCCGAGGATCGGTGCTCTGACTACTAATTGTTATGGCTTAGATCACAAGATGCTTTGTATATTATTTTTTGTGATTTAGATTGTATGTCTGCAGAAGAATGGGGAGGAAGAAAGTTGTTTAGAATAGAGAGATGAGAGGTAGAGAGAGAAAGAGTGAGAAGATACTGAATTGTGGTAACTGACTGCGTAATTTTTCAGCATTTTTCCCATAAATTGGTTACAACTGGTCCCCATGGCACTACAAGACAAAAATGAATAGAAACCCAAAGAGTGGGCCAAACAGCAGATAAATAGGCCCAGAAGACCTTACATAATAATAATAAAATGGTAAAAAGCCCAAAAACATAATACTCAAACTAATATCCAATTCGGCCCTATAGCAGCCCTCAGCCCGTTTTCCTCTTTGAGCCTAATGTCGAGATCCTTCAAAATATCTGCTTTGTCTTCCTTATTCGATTTCTTTTTCACAGGAAGCCCTAGATCTACAACTTTGTCTTCTTTCTCTGCAATTTCTTCACAATTAACTTCCCTGCACATAACAACCTCTTTGCTAAGCTTTCCCAAAGCTCTTTAGCACTATTCACATAGACAAAGCTCTCGACTATATCCTTAGACAACGAATTTAATATCTAGGAAATGATCATATAATCTGTTTTCTTCCAAGCATCATAGTTTTCATCGTTTTCATCAGGTTCTGAGATCTTACCGTCGATGAATCCTAGCTTCGATTTGGCTCCTAGTGCGATTATCATCGATTTGCGCCATGGAAGATAATTGTTTGCTGTCAGCGGATGTGATACGAGTATCATCCCTGGATTATCGGAGCTGTGAAGCTGGATCAGATTTTCGGGACTGAGATTGTGTTTGGATGAGGTCGATTTGCCATCGCCGGCGGTTAGCATCGGCCAGGTATTGTTATTCCAAGGATTCGCCATCATCAGATCGAAATTAACCAAGCTCTAGATACCATGTGAAATGGCGAAAGAAAAATATCTGGAAATCTAAAATTGATAGCTCAAAGTTTCTGCCAATTGAAAATGTTCTATTGTCTCGATAAATGAGAAGAAGACAACATATAGCCAAATGAAGAAAAGATCTCAACCGTACACGTGCTGAGATTAAGCTAAGATCCAAAAAATAAAAGAAACATAAAAAAGAAACACGTCTCTATTAATAAAGCGCGACTACAACTGTGAAAGAGAAAATAAAGCCGAAACTAATAAAACTATGATAATCTTCAACAATAATGTGGATTAACTGTTAACAATAATGTGCGTCCGTACATACATTAATGTGCAATTTGTATAGTATTATTATGCAAGCTATTGGTTGATTATTTTTTTATGTGTATTTCACTTGTACAAAAAAAGTTTAATAATGTATTTTCAATCAACTTTATACAATACAAATAAATAGTATTAATTTTTTATTTAATGTTTTATATTTTATTTTATTGAAAACAAATAAAAGAATGCCAACAAAATTCATTGTTAGATTAATGTACTTCCTTGAACGTAATAATGTGCATTTGAGCTAACAATATAGTGCATTCTGACAATCATTAACGTGCATAATGTATAATTCTATTTTGCATTCAATGCAGATTTTTTTATGCGTAAATTCAATCTAATACCGAAATGAAATAAATGAGTTGCTCGGTTGGTTAGTCGAATAAACCTAAATAATTAATTATTATTTATTATTATAAAAGAATTTAATATTTTAATTTTTTAATATTTTTTTTTGGTTAAAATAATATAATATATACGTATAAAATTGGATTAAAAATAAATTTTAATTGCAAAGAGGTCATTTGTAATTGTCAAATTTCCAACATCAATCTCTCAATTTAAATCTCAGTTATTTGTTCCCGAGACCAACAACCACAAGCCCAGTTACCACCACCACCACCACCACCACCACCACCACCACCACCACCACCACACAAGTCAATTACTATCAATTTTATTTACAAATTTATGTTCATCTAGTACGATTCCCATCGATCTCGTCCCCAATTTTCACAGCAAAGGAACCCGCCATCGAGTCGCACGGAGGTGACCGGATATGCGTCGGAGATTGGCGGATGAAGATAAATATAAGGCGACAACATTTCGGAAGGCTGTGAGTGGCGACGACGTTCAGAGGCGCGTTTGTCGAGGCGACGACAGCGGCGGTGGAATTGCTAGGATAATTGACCGGCGGCATGCAAATGGGCATTTGCGGAGGCGCGACGGCGACAACAACGGTGGCAGATGACTGTTGGAAGTGGGGCGACGGGGCGAAATCTCGTGTGTGTTTATCTGTGCGTGTTGTGTGTCTATAAGAGGTGTGTGTGTGAGAGAGAGAGAGAGAGAGAGAGATTGAGAGAGAAAGAGAGAGATCGTGTTTATGCATGTGTGCAGATTGTAGTGTGTGTTTCAGTATGTGAGAGAGAGAGTGGTGTGGGATGTGTGACCACGTGGTATGAAATAATTGGGTTTGAGTGATTTTTTAGTTGGCACGTATTGATTATTAAAATGTTAAAATCTATATCTATATAATGGATCAATCCATTTTACTATATTTGTCACAAAATTTTCCGCTTAAATATTTCAGCTAAATTTGGCAATTACTATTAGACATTCATTTATTACATAAAACCAAAATTAGTTAGTTCATTAAGGAATTTGATAAGATTTAAACCAATTATTGTTTTAATTAAAATTTGGACTCAAATATTCGTGAAGATAAATCAAATGATTTAATAATATACTCAAAGATATAAATGTATTAACAACTTTGAAAATATTTAAACTAATTATTGCTTGAAGTAAAGTTTGGTCTCAAAAATTTGTGAAGATAAATTAATTTGTTTAATAATATACCCAAATATATAAATTGTTATCATCTCATGGTTGTTGATATAAATTATGTTCATCAATCAAAAATACTTAAAATAAATAATAAAATAATGAAATTATTATGTTTGATTTATATTTGCTTAATGAATAATTTAAAATAATAATAAACTTTATAAAATGTAGTCAACTTAATTATGAATAAACTAGAATCTAATGAATATATGTTAATAAATTATCTGTTTATGGTCGGGTAAAATTAAGAATTATAATTTTCCCGTTAAAATATCTATATACATAAAAAACACTATTCAAGGTGTTAAAAAATAAAATTTTTATGAGTATCATTTTATAAAGAACAATGAGTAAATAAAATTATGTATCCAAGTAATAATTGAAATTATAAGATTTTATAGTCATTGGAATATAAAATTATTAAAAAATTTTATTAATTAAGTTATTCTATACGTTGAGGAAAATGAATTAAATAAGTAAGTATATTAAAAAAATATTAAAATACAAAATAAAATATTTACCATGAAAAAATTGTGTTGCACAAGAGATAAAAGTTACTAAAAATTAAAACTTAGTTATCATAAGTTATTATTTCATGCAATTAGAGTAATTATAAATAAAAATTAATTTTATGGATTAAATGTTGGTCAGTTATCGAGCAATATGAAAAATATGAATTGCTAAAAAATTATAAATAATTGGTATACAATTATTACATTTTAAATCTTACACTTTTATAATATTTTATAAACTAAGAACCAATTAAATTCATACCTACAAAATAAATTGGAAAAACAAAAAATGAAATATTTAAATAAATATTATATTATCATTGACTTGATATATTGTGTCGAATAAAATTGACATATTATTTTAAATAATTAAATAATATTTAATAAAAATATTTTTCATATTGCATCCCGTGCATCGCACGGATAACAATTCTAGTGTCTAAAATATTCTTAATGAATAAACATATACTGTATTTTTTACTCAATGTATTCTCATTTCTTTCATTGAACACATTTCTCATTATAGCACATCCCTACTATGAACATATTAGCAGATTAATATATTAACTAATTTACGGGCTAGCGCTAACAGGCTCAAGTTTAATACATGTTTGGACAAAAAAAAAATGAAAATATGTGAAAAATAGATCTATGAAATGTTTAATCCAACTCTATTATATTTTACGCGGAACAAGCCCTATGAATGTAATTTATAATCTATGTCATCTGCATCGCACGAGATACTTCATGGATAAGTTCTACATAAAAATAAAAATAAATGAATAAAAAATTATATGAAAACGACTTATTTAATATCTATGAATCGCACAAGCTGCACATTAGTTTACAGATATACAACAGTTTTACATTTTTTTCTCTTCTACATTTTGAAATTTAAGATAAGATATGATATTTCATAATTACTTGCATGACAATAGAACCGTTGCCAGTGTGCAAAACCAACATATACACTGTTTCACTTACCCCGAAAAGGGAATATTATTTGTGTGTTAATAAGCAGTAGTATCTTTTAATTGAGGAAATTAGGGCGAAACTATTGTACCACCGACAGCACAAGCAATACTGGTAAATGCAAATCACTTGTTAAATCAACAAATTAAAATAATAATAAGATACCTACTTTTGTAGAAATATATAGAATAAACCTTGTTCACATGGTGATGAGTTAGACAGCCTGTCTGTATCTGTTAGCGGCCGCGTCATTTTCATCAACCAATCTCACGATAACTATTGGTTCACCAAAATAAATAATAATAATAATAATAATAATAATAATAATAATAATAATAATAATAATAATATTACAATATATCTTGACAAAATTGTAATATTAGTTTACGTTTTTAATCTTAAGAATTGAACATTTTTGTTATTTAGTATTATGATTTTAAAATTCAACTTAATTTTAGTCAGTTGCAACAAAATTTAAAATTAAATGACTTAAATTGCTAATAAAAATCCAACTTTAAAATTGCTAATAAAAAAAGACTTAAATTGCTAATAAAAAATTTTTTAGTTGGACTTTTTGTTAGCAATTTAAGTCATGTAATTTTAAATTTTGTTGTAATTTCAGTAGCAAATGACTGAAATTGCAATAAAATACTAAATTACAAGATCAAAAGACACAAAATTTTAAATTCTTTAGACTAAAAATGCTACGACTTGAAATGAGCAGGACTAAAAATGCAATTTTGCGGTATTTCTTCTATTCACATACAATATTTTTTTCTTCTATATTATTGTGATTATTGCAGCTACCTTTTAGCTTTCTCTCCGCAAAGCAAAGCACAATCTGACAGACCCACCAGCCTCACCATACATACAAAAGTCATCAGTCCACACAGTCTCATTCATTCCCATCCTCACCCGCCAAGCACGGAATCTTTCTTCCCGATATTGCATTGCCGAAAATCAGCGATAGATCTCACTAAGATCTTGGATCTGAGCTCAATCTGTGTGGGTGTGTGTGTGTGTCTGGGAAGTAGAGGAGAATGAGTATGTATGGACGGGATCCGTGGGGCGGGCCGCTGGAGATTGCAGCGGACTCCGCCACCGACGACGATCGGAGCAGGAACCTGCAGGACTACGACCGGGCGGCGCTCTCGCGGCCGCTCGACGAGACGCAGCAGAGCTGGCTGCTGGGGCCCGGGGAGCAGAAGAAGAAGAAGTACGTGGATCTCGGCTGCATTATCGTCAGCAGGAAGATCTTCGTCTGGACGCTGGGGACCATCCTTGCCGCTGCCCTCTTGGCTGGATTCATCACCCTGATTGTCAAGACGGTGCCCCGTCACCGCCACCGCCCACCGCCGCCGGATAACTACACGCAGGCGCTCAACAAGGCCCTCATGTTCTTCAATGCTCAGCGCTGTGAGTACATTACTGAGAAATGCCGCTTTCTAGTTTTTTTCTTTATTTATTTGCTTTTATTTCTTGGCTTTAACTGGATCTCTCGAAATCTGATTACCTGGTGGATTGAGGTGGAAATTGACTGGTAAGATTGATTATTAATTCCATATTTTTGTTAATTATACTTGGGTTTTTCTCTTTTCATGCACTTTATGTGTTTGGTGCCGATGAGTTGATCTGATGCAAAAGAATGAGTCGATTATTGAGATTTGGGAGTGTGCTTGACAGTGCTTATTAGTAGCAAATTGCACTACTATGTTTTTTGTTTTCATCTTTTGCAACTGGGATCAATTATGTTGATCAATTCTTCAAGAACATTATATATTGTTATGATGTTCTGGATCACATTATATGATGTGCTGATCTTTATATGAACATATACAGTTCGCCTTTGAAGCATGACAGGATTGAATTGTATTGAACACATCACCAACTGTAATAAGTCTAATGGCCGATTCTTTCGATTCACAGCTGGAAGGCTTCCAAAGCACAATAATGTCTCATGGAGGGGAAACTCGTGTTTAAATGATGGAAAGTCCGATTCTTCAACTCTATTTAAAGACCTTACTGGTGGTTATTATGATGCTGGGGATGCAATCAAGTTCAATTTCCCGCAGTCGTTTGCCATGACCATGTTGAGCTGGAGTGTCATCGAGTACAGTGCAAAGTACGAAGCAGCTGGGGAGCTGAACCATGTCAAAGAGATTATCAAGTGGGGAACAGATTACTTCCTCAAGACTTTTAACCACACTGCTGATACAATAGATCGAGTTGTGGCCCAGGTACTTTTTCTATTGATGAAGTCTGAATTAACTATATAGGATTGAATTTATATTAATTAAAATTACTAAACTATATCATTCACAGCAACTTTTTGTGAGATTTTTGTTTCAATCTTGTCAATTGTGTTGTCTTTGAACAAATTATAAGAGTTTGTTTGTTGTATTGGCAGGTCGGCAAGGGGGACACCTCGGGCGGACCCGAGCCCAATGATCACTACTGTTGGATGCGCCCGGAGGACATCGATTATGAAAGGCCTGTTACTGAATGCCACAGTTGCTCGGATCTTGCTGCTGAGATGGCTGCTGCTCTGGCTTCGGCATCTATTGTCTTCAAGGACAACAAGGCCTATTCACAGAAGCTTGTCCATGGTGCCAAGACCCTCTTTAAATTTTCCAGGGAACAGCGTGGTAGGTACAGTGTGGGCAATGAGGCGTCCATGTTTTATAATTCGACAGGTTATTGGGACGAGTTTATTTGGGGTGCAACTTGGTTGTATTATGCCACGGGTAACTCGTCCTATCTTCAGCTTGCTACAACTCCAGGTCTTGCTAGGCATGCTGGTGCTTTTTGGGGAGGCCCGTTCTACGGGGTATTGAGTTGGGACAATAAGCTTGCCGGTACCCAAGTAAGTTAGATTTAAGCTTTTTTTTTTTTTTTTTTGTGTGTGTGTGTGCGCTTGATGCAGTGTAATCGTGTGGTTGTTTTCTGCCAAACTATCATGTAGATTTGTGTAGTATATGGCGGTTATGACCGCATTTCTGACCTCTCAGCGGGATTGTGCCTTGCTGTCATTTCCCAACATCCGCCATTGATAACACTGCCTCAATGGTTTGATGCTGGCTAACTGGGCTCTGTTTTAGTGATTATTAATCAGACTGAAATATGTATTCCCAATGTGTCAATCATCTTTTTTCTTCTCAATTTTTGCATGAAACATGATCCAACATTTTCCTAATATTATGCCTTTTGATCTTTATATTTGAATTATAGTACTTTATTCCCATGGGATAGGTTTATCAAATAGTACATGTTGAATGGTCCATAACCACTGTCATGGATGGGAATCGATTGAGCATTTTGGTTTATTTATTTTTGTACGAAGTAGCTCATACAGCTCTATATAGACTTGAAAACTGCAGCACATTCATTGTTGAGTTGCAAACGAGCATTATTAATTGTCCTGTAGGCTGACATTTTTATTCTCTATATTCAGGTGCTTCTGAGTCGTTTAAGGCTATTCCTGAGCCCTGGTTATCCTTACGAAGAAATTCTGAGGACTTTCCACAACCAGACCAGCATATTCATGTGCTCGTTTCTACCCTATTACACATCATTTAACAGGACACGAGGTAGTCACTTCAACAATACAGTAGGATAAAACAGCAAGCAGTTTAGGTTCATTTTCCTTAAAAAAACAAATCATCATTGTGGAGAACTGGACAGGTGGCATGATCCAGTTGAACCATGGGGCCCCTCAGCCGCTTCAATACGTGGTGAACGCGGCCTTCCTGGCCACGGTGTTCAGCGACTACATGAAAGCTGCCGACACTCCTGGATGGTACTGCGGGCCCCACTTCTACTCGGCTGATGTCCTCCGGGAATTTGCGGAGACCCAGGTATGCATGCAGTAATTGCTAATAAATACCTCATAAAAAAAACAAAAGGAAGTGTTGCGACTTAATTCTTACTTACCCCTCAGATGAAGTACATCCTGGGTAAGAATCCGAGGAAGATGAGCTATGTGGTGGGGTTCGGGAACCATTATCCGAAGCACGTCCACCACAGGGGGGCCTCGATTCCCAAGAATAAGGTAAGGTACAACTGCAAAGGGGGGTGGAGGTGGAGGGACTCGAAGAAGCCCAACCCCAACACCCTGGTGGGGGCCATGGTGGCAGGGCCCGACAGGCACGATGGCTTCAAGGACATCCGCACCAACTACAACTACACGGAGCCCACGCTGGCTGGCAATGCTGGCCTTGTGGCGGCCCTCGTGGCTCTTTCCGGGGAGACGACTGTTGGAATCGACAAGAATACCATATTCTCAGCTGTGCCGCCAATGTTCCCGACACCTCCGCCTCCTCCGGCTCCCTGGAAGCCTTAAGTTTGTCTTGTCATGTAACTGTTCTAGCTGATTTTGGGGGAAGATACGTATAGTGGGGGTGTGCTTGATGACTGATGGGGTGGGGCTGGGGAGAAGATTGTTTTTGTTGGAGGCGTGGTAAGTGGGAAGGCCTGAGGATTCTGTTTGTACCGAGGTTGTGTAATATAGTGTGTATGTATGATTTTGCCTCTTAAATACTTGTTTCTTGCTAATGTTGTAACATGCTTACACGGTGGTGTTTTGTGTTTGATTTGCTTTGTTGATGTGAATCTGGTAATGTAAATCTGCTCATGGGGATCAAAGAATACTTGACCAGGTACTGCCATCCGTATGATTGGTCAAATAAATTTTTTACTTACCCAACGTAAAAAGCCCCAAACCACTCTTCTTGCATTTCTTAGGATCAATATTTTTTTTTTTTTCTAAAAACTACTTTGATCCATAGTAGTTTTATTATATGAGTCATAACAAAATTTTTCATTATAAGTTTTATATTTAACATCTCATTATTGCAGAAAAGAAATACAAAATATAAAAAAATTATAGAAAAGTCATTTTAAATTTTATTTACGTTTTTAATATATATTATTATATAGTTTAGAATTACACTTGTTACTTGTACGACGACTTACATGTGTTATTTAGCAAATAAAATATTATCTGTCTATAAAATAAGAATCAACTATTTTCTTAGAAAATTATGAATACCAATATTTAGAACTCTATATGAAATTGGGTTCTCATAAATAACGATATAGAAGAACCTCTCTAATGTGCTAGGTTCAAGGTGGTGAATCGAGCGTAAGTAAGTCCTTTCATTTTTTTTAATGATATGATGTATAAGGTAATTTATTTTAAATTATATATTAATTCATATGCAATACACTAACACTCTTATTATTTTGATATGACTTATAACATTCATTTATTTATAGATAAGTACATATTACATAAGTTTAATCTGGCCGTTAAAAATAATATTTATGATTACCAAAAATCAAATATAGAATTCTACAAGTTGTTTTTAGAATTATATTAAACAAAGATTTTAAATAAAATTCTAAAATAGTTTGAATTATATAATTCAAAATAGATCTGATTTTTTTTTTTTAAAAAAAAAAAAATTATTCAAGAAAGATCTAAGTATATCCTAGTAATTATCAATGAGAAATCGGTTTTACCAACAAGAGGACGAAGGTATGATTTTGTAACGAACTCAAGGCCCTTGGTAACTATATTTTGTTATAAATATATGCAACTCGGAACAAGTATAGGCGTGATATACCTTACCTCATTTTATTTTAGTTGATACACATTATGTTTCTGTACGAACTATTTAACTTTACAGATCAAAGCTATGGCTGTTGAAATGGAATATGGCCCGATTCCCACGTCGCCGGAGATTCTGTTTTCTGCATTCTTTAGCAACACTTGTCTGAAGAGCCGGTGGCCCACATAGTATGACGCCGATATCAACGTTCCCCAATCTATCAGACATCGATTCGAATATTCCTGCAACAGAAAGTGGATGATAAGTTAAGTCGTGCGGATAATTGCATCTCATCATCTCGAATCTTTATCGAACTTAAAAAACGCTTTAACAAATCGAAGGCGTTAACGATACTAAATTACCAGTTCTTAAATAAGACTGACCCATCTTTGAGGTATGTTTTAGGTGAAGTAAAAGAGGTGACTGCTAGACCACTCTCAATACATTAGGATTTATAAAGTCTTATTAAAAAATCTTCAGCTCAAACATACCTCCAAAATCTGGCCTCTGACCGTACCGAATGGTGGTAACACATTGCTCCTTGCCAGTCGAACTCTTCTCCATCTTTGGCTCATTTGGTTGAACGAACCCATCTTCTTTTGTGTCCTCAAAATCGTAATCCGAGGTTCGTTTTTCCCATAAATGCCACAAAAGAATCACCAAACCCCCAAAAACGAGCACACTCACGACCATGCACGCCATGAACAAAAGCCCCTTGTACCACCAATATTCCACTCCATATGGATTTACATAAAAGACATTTAATAAAGCCACATTAATTCCCAATCCCAAAGTAGATACAATTACGTACATCCCGGACCATATTATGTTTCCCGTGCCAACCAACACAGACATTCCATGTTTCTTCTTGTAGGCTGGGAAAACAGTCGAGCTAACCGGCTCTATTGCTTTACCCTCTTCCTGTAGTCGAGCAGATCATTCATCAAGATTGAATAGTTAAATAATACAATTTGAAAGATTTCCTTAAATATTACTAATACCAGGGTGGGTTCTGATTGTCGAGTGATGTAAGTTTGAATTTCAAGGTTGAGCGTCTCTGAGAACGTTGGACAGATAGAGTTGATGTCCACCGTATTAAGAAGAGGAAGCTCGTCTGCCGTCTTGATAGCCCATATTATCAGTATATTTTTCGGCCGACAAGGTTTGCCATCATTAATTCGGTGTAGAACATCGCTTAGGATAGCCAGGAAAGGTGAAATCCCAATGCCACCCGCGACTAGAATGAGGTTCTCGTACCTAAAGAGTAAAAAAAGAATATAGAAAACCCAAAAAGAAAAAAAACAAAGAAAATATTAGAGTACATACATCAAGTGGTAAGACGATTCATGACCATAAGGACCCTCCACAGAAGCCGTTATTCCGAAATTCGTTTGCAGCAGTTGTTGTGTCTGAGCTTCAATCTCAGAGAGACTCGAGATACGTCTCTCCAATTTCTGAGTCCAATCTCCAAGAACTTTTATGAGGACCGCTATATGATGTCTACCGTCGAGAGGACTTGAAGAAACACTAAACGGATGCCACTGAAGCCAAGATAATTCACGTACTTGTAGAAAAATCCAACTCAGAGCATTATAGTGCAGGTCTGCGTGGAATAAATGAAAACGATCACACTATATTTCAACAAAAGATAACTTCTCAAACAGAAAAAGAACAAACAAAAAAGAAAAAGAAATTACTGGCAGGTTTGCAAAGGACCAGCTCCAGAGTCCCACATGGGAAGCACCTAGCCGAGAGTATATCAACTGTCCTTCGGGACTGAAAGAATCTAAGAAAACGATCGAGCATAAAAAGAAATATTCCTCCCGCAGCGAAACAGAAGATGAAATCACCAACGTGCAGCGCCAAAGAGACGACAAAGACTATGTACAGTTGATGCGTATAGAAAAACAGCTCGAAATTCATCCTCCTCACGCCCGGAAGTGAGGTGACCCACATCAGCAGACCGGCCACAAGGCTTATAACTCCTGGAAGATTGGCAATACCTATGTTTTTCCACTCTAGCAGCTGCATGAACCAAAATCGGGTAGTTGTTTTGAGCATTTTTTTTTTTTCATCATTAGTATGAGTGCATAATGTGGTAAAGGACTTACTTTGGAGATGAGGCAGCCCTGTATAGCCCATGGGATCACAAAGAGAAGGCCGTGGAGTGTAAACAACAGCATAGTGAGATGTCCAAGCCAAACATGATATCTCGTGGCATGCTCGAAAGGAATATCTATAAGCCGGAGGAGAATGGATCCTCTGGAAATGGGCAAGAATAAAAATGCCAAGCAAAATAGTCCAATCATCCCCAACCGCAGACCTGTTAGTTCTAGCATCAAAAGACTGCAAAAAAATCGAAAAGAAATTTATTATTTTTATTTTCTGTTGAAAGTCGTAAATTCAAAAAGGTACAATGTAACCGTCTCGTCAAACACTAAGGTTACTCGGAATTACTTCATAGTGATCGCTCATCTTCATTAGTATTATCATACTTGGAAAAGCATATCACGATCAGAAACAAGATTGGTTTTAGTTTTTACCTCCACTCTTTCGATGGAAGTTGAAACCATGATAAGATTTCACGGTTCTTGACGGTTAAAGCCGCAAATGCCCACAGCACATACGCGGTAGCTATGACGATCCAGATCAACTCAGCAGCCGAGACGACTCCAAAAGGTCCACCCACAAGAACCGGGAATGTCCATAGCCGAAAGCGCGCATATCTCGAATTCTTCTTATTGCTATCGTGCACACAATTCATAAAAGACAAACAAACATGAAAAATCGTACATACGGCGAGCAAATTCGACGGATAACTTTGAAGAAAAAAAAAAACTAATCACTTACACATGAAATTCCTCATTGCCACGTAGAACCATATAAGGAGTGGCAAGAAATGCAATGAGAATCACGGGGGCACTGTAAGTTAAGAATATAGTTCCGGCGATCCCAAACAGAGTTCCCTCAGTGAATCGAGCCCATTTGAGATAGGAAGTGTTGAAAGAATCCGAAGGATAGAGAAAAACAGAAGCCATCCATGCCATGAAAACCGCCCACATTGCAACTCTGAGAGCCCATTTTGCTGATGATAACAAGAAAGGTTTTTTCTGGGGATAAGTAGTTGTGACTTCATCAGCTTTTCTTGATAGCAGAGGTGCTTTCTGGCTTGATTTTTCATCCATTGAGGCAACCAGAGAAAGAAAAACTACTTTAAGTCTCAGGCTGAGATTAATGGGCTTCGTTTCAGTCGTGCCAAGCTAGTCAGTACAATTCATGGAATATATGGAGTAGGTTCAGGGAAAAAAAAAAGCAAGTAACTCAACACCGATC